GAAATCGTGCTCACCGCAAACCCTTGTAAAAAAGGTGTTTTGAGGCAAATGCCTTATTTTTACAAATTTTCGCATGCATGTTTTTTAAAAAGACGTAAAACCATAAACTATTCTATGCTTAGTTTGTTTAAATAAATGTATGATTGATATGAAAAAACACAAAATCTTTTAAGTTTTCGCCTTACAAAGGTATATAAGTTATATATATATATAATATAACCCCTTAAGCGTGTACGTGTTCACCGTTTGACGTCACCAAAATCGCCTTAATAAATCTTCTTATGCTGTGGATAGATAGATAGATAGATTGGCTATCGGGTAGCTACCAGGCCAGCACTACTGCGCCGTAAAACCTCATGAACCAAAATGCGGACGCTTTAAAGTTTTAATTAACGCCATGTAAAACCATAATTAAAGCTAAAGAAAACCCCAGAGAGGCTTTAAAAAGCAAAGCGAAACATTGGGCGTTATACGTCTACACCTTTTCCAGTTGATATTCAGAAAGTAGCACTTGATATTCAGAAAGCAGCAATTGATTTTTAGATATTGCAAATGAAATTCAGAAAATAGCAAATGTAATTCAGATATTTCAAATGATATTCAGAAAGTAGCTGATGTAATTCAGATATTGCAAATGATATTAAGACAGTAGCAATTGATATTCAGAAATTACAAATAGTATTCAGACAGTAACAATTGTAATTCAGAATATGTCAATTGAAATTCAGAAATTAACAAATGATAACATTTTTATACTTCATTTTACTTATTTTCTAAAATCTCAATTTAATGTATTTCTTTGTATATTGCTTTGTTTCCATGAAATTGACAATAATAAACAAATTTATCACCATTTAAGTAGGTATATTTGTCATAATTGTCAACTTATTGCAAGTAAGGACCGAATTTTGTTCATTTGTACTTTGCAGAAATTTCATTTACTTAGTTAATAAAGATAACGTGTACTTGCATTCATCATCGATTTACTGTATGCAACCCACTGTTCCTGAAACAATTTCTGCGGCTGAATTACATTTGATTTAATCTGAAAAACATTTGCTACTTTCTGAATTACAATTGCAAGTTTCTGAAAATCAATTGTGTTATCTGAATTACAATTGCTACTTTCTTAAAATCAATTGTGTTATCTGAATTACATATGCTACTCTCTTAAAATCAATTGGAATAGCTGAATTACAATTCCTACTATCTGAATATCAACTGGAATAACTGAATTACAATTCCTACTTTCTGAATATCAACTGGAAAAGGTGTAGTTGTGTCTTGTCCACAGTCTTATATACAGGTCTTGCAACTTAAGCTTCGTGGTGGCTTCCTTAACGTGCCAAGCCGCTAGGTGGCGCTAAGATCGAAGGGGTAAAGTCAATTAAACTACTACTTAGTTAAATGTGGAACTACTGCATAACCATAACCTAACTTTTTAAATTCTTTTTCTATGTTTTGTTTACATTTTCAAAAATTTAATATTTGTGAGTTTGTTTCGGATAATTTACGTTAACAAAATAGGACAACAAAGTCTATACTCTATGCACAAAGTCCTCGGCCGTCACATGCCCAGACCAAACATGTTAATTTATAAAATACATATATGTATATCATATATATATATATATATGTTACGGCTAATGTGTAAACATGGATAGTTTATTAAGTAGCTGGGTAGTTTATGAACTAGCCAAACTGTCAGCTATTTTAATTGAAAACGTATTTTTAACTAAATTAGCGGCTAGTTTGTAAACCAACCAAGGGTCTTGGCTAATTTACTTGAAATTATTTAGGAATAGCTGGATAATTTGTAAACTATCCAATTCAATTTGGCTAATATGAAAACCAAAATTTCTAGTAACACAACAAACTAACCAACCAATATTCTGGCTAATTTATTAATAACCGATTTTTTTATTGTCTTGGCGGGGATGGGTTGATTGTTTATTTAAAATAATATATATTTCACCAACACGATGTGCTTAATTATATAATAATCATACAAAATGTGAAGGTGTCAATAATATGTTTTTTATTGCACATTGCCATGTTTTTAACCGCTCCTTATTTGTTAGCACTTTAAACATGGATCGCTTAATTTTAATGCCGGAACGATAGCTTTGCTGGTTACATTTTGGCACAACACGTGTTGTACAGGACTTCATGTCTATTAAAAAGCACAAATACAAATGTATAACAAGAACAAATATATATATTTTAAAGCAAAAATAAGTAAAAAAATAAAAAAAAGGGACAAGTACTACAGAAAATGGAAAAAAATCCTCTAAGCAGATACTACAAAAATGAATTCAAAACCTTAAAAAACATGGTAAATAAAATGATAAAAAAATCAAAAATATCTTATTACACACAAAAATTTTTGTCAACAGGAAGTAATGTGAAAAAAATATGGAAAACTATAGATGAAATAATTAATATAAAACCTAGAAAAACAAATAATAAGATAGATAGATTAAAATACAAAAATAAAGAATACACTGAGAGTAAAGAAATAGCTAATATCTATAATAAATTCTGTACTGAAGTTGCTAAAGAACTGCAAAAAGATATAATAATAGCTGATATAAAATTTGAAGAAGTTACAAATAATAAAACTATTTTTATGTCCCCTTGTACACTGAGTGAATTAGGAAAAGTTATCGCATCTTTGAACTCTAGTAACTCCTCAGGTGATGATAACATTACTACTAAAGATATTAAAGAGATTTATCCTAACATAAAAGAAACCTTACTCAGATGTATAAATAACTGCTTTAAGACTGGCAATTTTCCTGAAAAATGTAAAATATCTAAGGTTCTTCCTATATACAAAAAAGGTAGTAAAGAAGATCCAGGAAACTACCGTCCAATATCTATTACTTCAATTTTCTCTAAAATTATTGAAAAGTTAATAAAAATAAGATTTATAAACTTCTTTGAAATATCATCTAAACAGTATGGCTTCCAGGAAAACAGCTCCACACAAAGTGCCACTATGGATCTAATAGAACAAATCTTTAAAAAACTAGAAGAAAAACTAAAAGTTATAGTAGTTTTTGTCGATCTGAAAAAAGCGTTTGATACAGTAAAATTAGAGTTACTTTTAAAAAAATTAGAAAAGAATGGTATTCAAGGTCCAGCTATATTGCTTATGAAAACTTACCTCCATGACAGAAAACAGTATACAAGCACTAATAACTGCATCAGTGACCCATTAAAAGTGGAGACAGGCGTACCTCAGGGATCAGTGTTAGGCCCTATACTGTATCTATTATATGTAGAAAGCCTAACAAAAGCTGGTTTACTAGGAGAACACTACATGTTTGCAGACGATACAGCACTTTTGTACTATCATGAGGATATGAAAACAATAGAAAACATCATTAATAAAGACTTAAAAAAGTTTTATAATTGGCTATGTTCAAATGGATTAATAGTGAATGAAATAAAAACTGTATATATGCAGTTTAGCTTAAAGAATAAAAACAACCCAAAAGTGAATCTTAAAATAAACAATGTACCCATTCAAAAAGTGACTTTCTATAAATACCTTGGATTAACAATTGATCAAAACTTGACTTTCAATGAACATATTGGTGAAATATATAACAAACTTAGTGGCTTAGTTGGTGCGCTTAGACGTGTAAATGAATATTTGACGGAGAGTTGCAGATTCCTTATATATAACTCATATATTAAATCAGTCTTAAGTTATCTCATAGCAATATGGTCAAATACATCCCAACGAAATCTAAACCGAATGCAAAGACTGCAAAATAAAGCGCTAAAAGCAATTTTTAATCTACCGTATGATACACCAACTAAAGACCTTTATAAAATAATTCCGGTAATGAATATTAAACAGTTAATTAGTTTCGAATTGTGCAAATTAGTATATAAGATAAAAAACAAAGACATTAAAACAAGTGCAAGCTTGAACATAAACTCGGATTTTCACAACTATGAAACTAGAGGAGCACAAAACCTCAGAACAGTCAGAGTTAGGACCAAAAAGGCTTCTGGATCAACAATACAACAGGGTGTTAAAATCTTCAATGATCTACCAAACTCCATTAAATCCTTGGATAAATATGAAAAATTTATAAAAACATTGAAAAAGTACATCAAGGACAATTTATAATTATTATACTGTTATTCAATTTATAAATCTATTTTTTCTTTATTGTAATGATTACTCTACGTTAACAGCTATTACAAGTTGATTTGTAGTTTCAATTTAATAAATAAATAAATAAATAAATTTGACTCTTACTGGCCAGCTCCAGTATTAAAGTCCAGTGGCTTCAGAGAGATCCATTAGACAAAACTTGTTATTCCAAGGGAATCTTAAAACATCCACTAAACGGGTTTAAGCAAGGGATATTATCAATAAATACGATCGTATTTTTCGACGGCCCCCGACTTTGTCCCTTCTAGGTCAAATAAGTCACTAATATTTCACAATCTTTCATTAAGCAGATCCTTACGCCACCAAGAATAAGTCGAACTGTAAGCATAGAACAAAAACTATCAAAAATGACAAAAAAGTAATACACGATTTTCATTTATTTCTTACGTGTGATATCCGTATGGCACAAAACATTAAACCCAAACACTGATGAAATAAAAAATCACGACATGATTTTCATTTCTCACGTGTGATATCCGTATGGCACAAAAATTCAAATTCAAACACTGATGAAATAAAAAATCACAACGTGTAAACCACGGCGGCAAAGTGATTTTTTCAGGCTTCAATAAGTGTCCAGGCTCGCTAAACCTTGCCTGTGCATTTCTTCTTTTAGCCTGGAATAATGCAACTTTGCCGCCTAGGTCTACAATATTTTCATTGACATCACAAATCCTGAAATACAATTTTAGTCAAGTCAAGCCACCTGACAAGACTTAGTATCAATGATACTGTATACTGTATACTGATACTGTATATCTATGTGTACATATCTTAAAAGTTCATCAAAAAAGAAATGAAATTATATTTTTATTATTTATTTATTTAATATAAAAATCAACATATTTCCATTGTAAAAGTATTTACAGACATTTAACTAAATTTTCTAATATGTATTAACATTAAGTAAGAATACTGCAAATAAATTATATGTATATCTATATGTTTTAGGTTTTAAGTAAATTGTAAGCAATGGGTGTTTCTTAGAACGTAAAATTTAACATTCCAAAACTACTAAATTTGTGTAAATCAATAAGAACTTCCAAACAATAAAAATAAATCTAGTTGGATAGAAACACCCATACATAATAGGTATATAAATATATATATTTATAAATAAAATTTAATCATCAGCAAACGACATAACAACTCTTCGCCTTTTTCTTTTTGCAGTTGCAATTTTATTACTATTAATAGAATCACTTTTGCTGTTATTACTCGACTCTACAGTTTCATTGCACGATTTATCCTCCCCTACATTCGGCGTCGAAGTGACTTTATTCAAACAATTCGTAAAACTCAGACCATCATTACTGTGCTCTTTGGTGGCATTTAAAGTTTCTGCATTAATATTATCATCACTGGCATTTTTAAACTTAACATCACACTCTAGTGCTGACCCTGTGATATTCATAGCATCTATGAGATTCAAAATGTTTTTATCCTGCATATTTTCATCGAGGGGAACATTTTTAAAGTGATCTTCCTCCAGATGGAGAATGGGAATCTCCCCATCATGAGTGAGATGGAGTTCTGGAAACTCTTCGTCAAGATTTTTCTTTGTTAAAATATTTTCAAAGGTACTTAAAGGTTTTTCGTTGGATTTTCTTGATTTGTCTTTTTTATTTATCATATCTTCTTTCTTAATTTTATCTCTTAAATCCACTGCAATGTCTGTTAAAGGTATCACAACATGTTTTGATTCATCAGTCTTTGGTTTTTCTATGGATTCTTTAATTTTTTTTCTTTCTTCTATTGAGTCCCTCGTTCTGCTTCTAGTTCTTCTCCGTTCTTCATTTTTGTTTTTTTGTCTTTTATTTTTAGGTTTTTCATCTGGATCACTTTCGGATTTTTCGTTACCTTCTCTAGAAACTCCACATAATTCTTTTGATTTATCTTTATTTACTTTTGTTTCTTCAAAAAATTTCTCCTTTTCAAAAACTTCAGATCTTTTGTATTCTTTTTGTTTTTCTTTATTGGTATTTGTTTTTTCAATTGATTTTTTGTGATCTGCGTCTTCTTTTTTAGAATCTCTGGAAGATTTGTTGTCTTCTTTTGATTTTTCTCTATTTGTTTCATCAGTAGATTTTTTGTGATTAGTTTCGTATTTTCCGATGCCTTTAGAGGAATTTTCGTCTTCTTTTAATTTTTCCTTATTTATATTTGTTTTCTCAGTAGATTTTTTAGAATCCACAGTTTTTCCCTTTTCCTTTGATTTTTCTTTATTAATGGTCGTTTTTTCAAGGGATTTTTTGGAAAGTACAGAAGATTGTTTCTCTTCTTTCGATTTTTTTTTATTGTGAACTAATTTTTCTTCTTTAAAATCTACAGAACATTGTTTGTCTTTATTTGATATAGCAACGGATTTTTTGCAAACTGATTCTTCACTTTCTTCTTTTTTTACTTTATCTACAGATATCTTTTGTAGGATATTTTCTTTTTCTGACTTTACCTCTTTACTTTTGTTTTCATGGTTTTTCTTATCATTTTTATTTAGGTGTTTTTCATTATTTTGCATGCTATTAATCTCCATTTTGCAATCTTTTTCATTTAAAATATCCAATGATTTCTTTACATTTTTGTCACTATTTACAGTTTCTGTAGAATTTTTGGAATGTTCTAAAATTTTGTCGTTTTTACAATTTTCCTCTTCATCTTCATCACTAATATTTATTGTAATACTTTTTTGAGGCTTATTTTGTGTTTTGTTAGGTATTTTATAGCTACCATTGTCCTTAACATTATTTTTGTCCAACTTAGATCTTAAATCTACACTATTATCAAAAGTTCTGCTGCTTACTTTTTCGTCTCTTTTAGATTCTTTTCTTGTTAAATTAACTTTATCATCCAAATTCTTATATTCCTTTTTATCACTATATTTCTCTCTATGTTCCAGTCTTTGTAGTTTTTCAGACTTATAGTCTATGATACTAGATGACCTAAAAAAGTAAATAATCAATATAATTCAATTCAATTTGGGTACACTTTTCAAAGCTTTCAAACATACGAATTTTTGAATTAAAAAAAATAATCATGGTATAGATTCTTTGGGAAATTTTATGCTCTACAAGAATCCGCGACGTAACAATTTTTATCTCAAACGGTTTAAAAGTTATAGTCTTTTTAATGAAAAAAGATTTTTTTACGTGTTATTTCAATGGAAAACTTAGAATGCTCACCAACACCTTTTAAAATTGAGCAAAAAATTTTGCCTTGCAGGGAAATTTTTTGCTCGGTATGTAGGTTCATTTTAACCCATAAATCCGATAGGTTAGTTTTTTTTGGCTCACCCTAATATATATACAAGGTGTCCCTAAACTTATTGGCATAAATTTAGGAAAAGATTGAGCAAGTAAAAATAAGAAGAAAATCTAAATAATTTTTTTTCCTAATTACTTATGCTTCCAAGATACAGGATGATAAAATGTTACTTAACATATCAGTTTTTTAATATAACTTCTACTATGGTAGTCTTGGAAAGGTGATATCTTTCGAACAGTCCCTTACTACCAAAACACAAATTCACACATAATTACAATTGTTTGACTGAACACAGTGTCGTAGAAACGGGGGTTGCTTTAAGCTTATTGTCCCATATAAACTTTGAGGTTAGGTTTTTATAAGATTTGAGGCAATTTTTCGATTACACAGTTCGGCTAACAAACTTCGGTAAAATAAACCGTTTCCGAAATATTCGAGATTACAATAATTGTTATATCGCATTATTTAAAAGGATTAAAAGGTATATGATAACAAATTTTATTTTTTTATTGAAAAAACTAAAAAGGGCATTTCATGAGCCTCGGAACTTTTTGCCCTGACCATCACATTAAAAAAATTGTGGTTTTTTCAATTAAAAAATTTGTTATCATATACCTTTTAGTCCTTTAATGCCATATAACAAATATTGTAATCTTGAATATCTCGGAAACGGTTAATTTTATCGAAGTTTGAGAGGTATACCTTTTTAATAGTAGCCGAACTGAGTAATCCAAAAATTGCATCAAATGGTATAAAAACCTAACCTCAAAGTTTGTATGGGACAATAAGCTTAAGCAACCCCTGTTTCTACGACACTGCGTTCACTCAAACAATTGTAATTATGTGTGAATATGTGTTTTGGTAGTAAGTGACTGTTCGCAAAATATCACCTTTCGAAGTCTACCATAGCAGAAGTTATATTAAAAAAACTGATATGATAAGTAACACTTTATCACCCTGTATCTTTTAAACATACGTAATTAGGAAAAATATTTATTTAGATTTTCGTCTTATTTTGACTTCCTTAATCTGCTCCTTAATTTATGCCACTAAGTTTAGGGACACCCATATATATTATATAATTACTAATAGAGGGGCGCACACAGGGGCGGACCGTTACCTTTGGGGGCCCTGGTCTAAAGCTGTTTAGGGGCCTAATTTTGGGTTTTGTCAAAAAGATTTCTTATATTTATAGATAATAAACAACTTTTTAAATTAATATGACCCACAAAACAAACATAAATATAAATTGAATTACTTTTATTACCAAATATAAACAAAACAACATTTTTAGGTCAAACATAAAAACCAAAAAAAAATATTCTTAAAATTAATAAATAATATACCTAAATAAAACATTCTAGAACACTGGTTCAAAATAAGTCGATTTTGTAAAAAACATCTTTTTTTTAAATTATTATTATTAAGAGGACGCTCATCGCGATTTTCTATTTTCCATTAAAATACCAGATTTTTTTTGTTAATTTTGGAATTAGGAACAAAACATATTTTTATGGAAAATCAAACGCTCTACAAATAAGGTTCCTTATTATTTGACAAATACTCGTTCAAAAGTTAAAGCTTGAAGTTAAATTTATAGTAAATTTTAAGTTTTTCTTACTTTTCCGGACTTATTACAAAATGTCGTAGTACCCTTTTTGTAGATCATTTTATTTTCTACAAAAATTTGTCATTCAATATTTTTTTAAACTACTGGTTATACAAATTAATTTTGTGCAATAAAATTACTATTTTCTTAAGTTTTTTTGTAATTTTGAGATTTTTCAAATGTATAACCAGTAACTGTTAAACTACCTATACGATTAAAAAAAAAAAACATATTTTTATGGAAAATAAAATAATCTACTAAAAAGGCCTATGACATTTTGTAATAAATCCGATAGTTTTTTATAAAAAGTAAGAAAAACTACTTAAAAATTTACTACAACTTCTATTTAAGCTTGAATAACTTTTGAACAAGTAGATTTACCATAAAATTATAAAAGACCATTTTTGTAGAGCGTTTTTAAATGACCACTACATATCTGTTCTGATCATTTTAGTCCATTATTGGGCCAGATAATTTTAAAGTTAATATTTTTTAGGAAATAGAAAATCGCAATGAGGGACCTCGAATAATATTTTCACCGCGTAGGTGGGCCTGGATCGGACAGGGACCAGGGCTGCAGCCCACAAGCCCATACCTTAATCCGCCCATGCGCACAGAGATATTTTGGAGTAAAAAACTGTGGGTGACCTTTTTCTAAAACTTTTTAAATACTGTTTAATGGGGGCCCTGTAAGTTCTCCTTCTTTTTTAACCGAAATTTTAACTCTGTCCAATAATAGGTACTTTGACTTTAATTTTTTTTTATTTCAGCAGGACCAATGCAAGGCCTTTTTAATTTTTTTAGACCATTTTTACCGCATGTAATAGGACGTTCCGGTCGGTCATTCTAGCATTTCAATTGGAAAAAAATATTAACAGGTAAATTTTGACGCAGTTTCGTAAAACCCTTCCTGAGAAACACAAAAATTCAAAATTCTAGCAAACTGTGTGGTTGCTTTCCCGCCATCTTTGTTTTAAGTGGTGATTTTTTTTGTATAAAAATAATTCGCTATTATATCAAATAACCCGCTATTTCTTTAATTTATTTGAAAACTCACAAAAGCAAAGTTGTAGAGAATAAAGTTACCTACACCATTTTTGCTACACCCTGTATAATCCATATACAAGTATAAATAATTAATCATTATTATTATAATTAATTATTAACCAAATAGAAAACTAGGTAAGTTAACATGTTCTCCTAAAATATTTTCGATGAGTATAATCTACATTGATCACTGGAGATCTATTCGTAGATTACCGTTAATCAAATTCGTTGTATACGTTGTGTTCACATACATAAGTCGCCTCCCCGAGAACGAACGATTATTCCTATGCATAAACTGTTTAAACAAAAGTTGTTGCAAATTGAGTCCAAAATAACTTTCCCACTTGAACATTCCATTCCACAGCAAAACTGCTTTTCAACCCCCTACCTTGAACGTTCAACGCGCGCTGTATGTTTTAAATTTTGTTTTTTCAGAAAAGTTAATAGGACATAAATTGTAGGTAATTTTATTCTCTGCAACTTTGTTTTAGCGAATTGTCACGTAAATTGAAAGAATAGCCTAGCGAGTTACTTCACAAATACAAAATCACCCCTTATTACAAGGATACTGAAGAAAGCAACTACCCAATTTGTTAAAATTTTGCACTTTTTGGGCTCCCCAGAGAGGGTTTTACAGTTTTATGGTTTTTTCAATTGAGGTGCTTTTTTGTCTAGGCTGACTGGGCTATTTTAAACAAAAAATGTTTGTCTGAACGCGTTAAACATTAACTATTTTTAGATTGGATGGGACACTTAATTTTATTTTCATAGTTTTAGTCTCAAGCAAATTATTAGATTAAGAAAACATTTAAGTATGTAAAATTACAGTTAGGGGACATCCATTAATTACGTGAGGCATTTTTCTGATCATTTGGACCCCTCCCTCCTTTCTTTGCGGACAACATGATAAACCCTCGGATAAACCCAAAAAATAAAAATTGATTACTTTTTTTTTACAAATTTGAATTATAATACATATTCTTTAAACCCAAAAGTTAATGTGAGATTTTAAATGACCCCCCCCCTTCCTTAACATGAGATTTGGTGAGATTTTGCTAGACCCCTCCACCCCTATTTTAATAAACATCAAATATTTGATCAGTAAGTAAAAGTGGGACACAATTGCCCTGTTTTTCAAATAGTTACCTTTTATTGATAAATGGCCTTTTATCATCAGTCTCTCTATCCAACTGTTGATCCTTGTCCCTATCCCTATAATTATCTTTATCTCTACTCCTGTATTGATTACTATTATTCCTATCTCTACCTCGACTATCAAAATGAATTGGATTTTTGGAATCTCCGTTACTAGACTTTTCATCACTATCTCGATCATTATACCTTTGTTTTTTACTCACAGGCTTATCATCAAAATCTCTATTACGTTTATTAAAATTGATATCACCATATTGCTTCTTTCTAAATACAATATTGTCTCGCTCCTCCCTTAAATCTGCTATAATTTTATTCTTCCTATCGATTTCTCTTTTGGCAGTTATATACAGTTCTGATATGTTAATTTTAAGTATTTCGTGTGATTTTTTCATCTCTGTTAGTTCTATTTCCTGCTTTGCATATGTGATTTGTAAATTTTGAATGTGATCCTCCAGTTGTTTTACTCTTGATTTCAGCTAAAAAGTTAGGTTATAGTTGGTTAAAGTTGGATTTAATTTGAACTATTTACCTTTTCCATTTCTTGCCCCAAGTCGAATTCGGGGAGATCTTCGTAAATATCTTCATATTCCATTATTTTTGTTAAAAATTATTAAACAGTTTACTTATTTTGGTTGGAATATCTTTGGTGGATATTTTTCTAAAATAATAATACTCAAATATGCTTAGTATAGGCGTCAATGGGTTGATTTCCAGAAAATATTTGGGCCGATTTTCATTTGTCAACACATTTTGTCTAAAAATTAAACAACGCGATTTAGCGCAAATCGAGCGGGAGGTACAAAATACAGTTGACTAGAATTCACAGATGCGCAAAGGTGATGCGCGACATGTACGAAAGTTTTAAACATACCTTGGTTTTGTTTGCGAGTTGCGGGGACGCGGTTCATGTGTAAAGGCACACCTTGCGTGGAATCTCAAAATTTACGCATTCTTTTAACCATTCAAGTTCCGAAACTGTGATTTAAGTGCAAAAACAACATGTACGGGTGATATGAAATGGGAATATGCGTGAGTGAAGTGCATGAAACAAAGTTTACAATTGTTTAGTGGATTAATAAATGTTTGTGAGTGCAATTTTTCTTCATATTGGATAGACAACAGGTAAGATTTCATGTTGTTGTATTTCTACCTTTCCATCACTTTATTCTACTATTTATTCTACTTACAAACATCAATAAGCCTATTTCGTTATTAAATTAACAACAATTTAATTGGATTAGAGTCCGAATCGCAATATAAGTGAATTTCAAACAGTTAAAAAGTTTACGAACAGGTAAAAGCCTTGTTTACACGAGGAAAATACGCACGCGGTGTTTTAAATGGCCAGTTTAGGTCAAGATCGGTCTTCTGTCAACTTGTACCGTGTGATGTTATACCGGGTGTCTCACCTCACATTTTCGATTTCTAGTGAATAACTGAATAACATGAATAATGTTATTGATAAGTTTAATATGGACAAGAGAACAAGTTAGTTTTTTTGTATACCTATACCTATATAATATATTTTTATATAGGTATATATTTATATAGGTAATATATTATTCGATATTTTTATTTAAAAATCAATTTTTATTTAAAAACAAAATTGTTGTCTTATAGGTAAATATTATAATTTGTATTGTATTCTAATTCTAAAAACAAAATTGTCTTATAGGTAAATATTCTAATTTGTATTGTATTCTAATTCTAATGTGTTGCAAAACACTTTGACACTTTGGCATATGAAAAACTTAACTTTGTTGGTTTAATTAATTTAGGACTACTTTTCTTCTAGCCTCTAGGCTATAATTTATAAATTTAAAGAATTTTGCTCGGAATTTTGTTTATAAATTACAAATTGTTTATACCTAAATTACTAATTACAAATTTACAAAAAACAAAGGTCAATTATTGACCTTTATTAAAAAACTTAGTATTAAGTTTAAACAATAACTTCAGAAAAGGACTGATTTGTGTAAGGTGGGACACCTGGTAGGTACCTAACTATAAAGAATCAAATCACGACCTTATAAAACATGATGTTATTAGACTTGCAAAGAATTTTTGGTGCTGGGAATATTAATTTGCCTTTCCTGTAACTGGACACTCACTTTGAATGGTAATTGAATAAAAAAAAATTACAATTTTTTAATCAAACGCTTTTTAAATTAGGTATACATACCCGAGGGTATACCTATCTAGAGAGTTATTTTTGTTTTAAGTTGTGACAGTGTCAATTTTGTATTTTTACTTGTAATCTCTAATAATTGTAATTAATTAAAATATATTCAATTAATTATGTAATTAATTCATTATATTAGATTAATTATTAATTATATTAGATTAATTATCTAATTAATTAAATTTATAATAACGTGATAATATAGATAGGGTAAGGCAAATTTAGTCTACCTACCTACCTATCTATATTTGGTTTTATAAGAAAACTGTTCTTGATTTTTTTAAATAAAAATGTAGGGTGTAGGTAGGTACCTACAATAAATTAAATTTGAATAAGTATGCAAAAATCTTGTTATGTAGGTAATTACCGGTACTTAATTAGGTACATATGAAAATAAATAAATAAGTTTACGTATTTACCTACCTAGTTAATGTCAAATTTGGTTATGCAAAAATACCTGTATACCTACATATGTTTATCTTTTTATCTGTTGATCTAATGGCACCGGGAATGCACGGGGTTATCTCTAGACCAGGTTAAATGCATCCCAAATACCTAGGTATTTGGGATGCATTTAACCTGGTCTAGAGATAAAAAATCTAAGTGATTTTAATGAATGATCTTTTTATTTTATCTAGCTAGATAATCTATCTTGGAATCATTCTTTTGCAGATCCAAGTATATGTTTTTAAGAAAACGGTGTCCTAGCTTTACTTATATGATTTAAGATTATTAATATTTTTGATAAACTGTATAAATATGGTATAAAAGGAGTGTGTCTAGACTAGGTATCATCTTTTTTACTTAATCGGAAACAAGTTCCCAGACAGCACATATATCCATTGGACGTCCAGCGGACGACCATTGTACATCCAAACGTCTTGTGCTGTATGGGTTGTTGTAAAATCACTTAGATTTTTTACACAAAGGCTTCGTTAAAAATGTTTTCTATGAATTTGCCGGAAAATGCAACGGCAGAATTTGTTGAACTTGGTGCTCAAGGTCACGCAAACACCTGTAAATTATAATAGTTGAAACGTACTAAAATTTGTAGTTTACTTAATTAAGATAAATGTTAATTATTTGTTAGTCATAATTGAGGTTTCTTAAAAATAATAAAAGTACCCTACTTAATCAAGTTAAAGAATTATTGTTTGGTCAAGATCCGTTAAGATTTGTCATAAAGTGACTAAGTTTTTATTTCTTGTTTTTTGTAGTGATTCAGAAGGTTTAGTTCGGTTTAGTTACAATATTTTGGGCAATATTTTGCAATTAAAAAGTTTTTTCATTTTACCCGATTTTACATCTAAACAATTTTTATGTCTAGATCTAGATCTGGATATACAATAAAACTTTTCCATTACCGCGTTCACGGAAAAAGTTTTTCCGAGTTGTTCTTAATATTTGGTACACTCGGGTACACTTTGTATTGGTGACATTAAAATGTTGTAGGTATTTAAACTTTATTAAGAAAAACATAAAGGAAATAAATGTTTTTTTAGTGAATATACGATTACGATAACGGTTACTTTTAATAATAATAATCGATAATAATAATGTAACCTCTAATCTAACGATTACGACTAATAAACGAAATGTACTTAAATATACATGTTGATTCATTAATATTGCGAAAAAATTTAGGATGATATTCCTTGCATGAAATTTATAAAAAACTATTAACTATAATCAAAGATACCTCTTTTTTTAGTTTTGTGTTTTTCGACTTGCTATACTCGACTTGTATAAGTACATCGATACCAAACATAATTGACCATAAATAACCCTCTAGTCCATCATTTCTTAACCTCGGGTCGCGACCCAAATTTGAGTCGCGGGCCATATCGAGATGGGTCGCGGGACTTGCGAGATTTGTGTTAGTTGATTCCTAAAATTTTTTTTAACTTATTTTAAATAAAGAAAATGTAGAAAATTGATGATTTTATTTTTTATCGGGTCGCGAGCTTCTAATATTTTTGAATTGTGGGTCGCCAGCCTAAAAGGTTAAGAACCGCTGCTCTAGTCGATCAACAAAACTACTCATTGCTAACATTTAATTTCATACAGTACTTAGATCCTTAGAAATCGAAAAGAATGTGATGGACAACGTTAAATTTTCTACTAAAAAAGGGTTCTTTTTGGAAAATACATTTCCGAATGTCTCTATTATTTCCTCAGGTTAAATGGTTAAATGGTAGATATATTTTTTATTTTTCTCACCTTTTTAAGTTTTACTATTCAATACATTCGGTACATTTTAGTATGATGATGATGACGACAATATGATGCTATAGCATGTGTACAGAAACACAGCATCACCGACACAGGTTCATTACCACGTTTTAAAGTTTTTATTTTTATTACGGAGAATACAGAAAAAATGCGCCTTATTTATTTAATTAAGTAATTACTGGTAAGGGGACATCCATTAATTATGTGATAAAAAATAGGGGGGGAGGGGTCTAGCAAAATCTCACTAAATCTCACATAAACTTTGGGTTGTAGGGGAAGTAGCTATTATAATTTAAATTTGTCAAAAAAAGTTATCATTTTTTTTTTTGGGTTTATCATGTTGTCGGCAATGAAAGTTTAATGGCTAGATCTAGCTATTCCTTACGTGAGATTCGAATCTCACGTAAGGGATAGGGGGGTCTACCACATCTCACCAAATCTCACCAAGGGGGAGGGAGGGGTCCAAATTACCAGAAAAATGCCTAACGTAATTAATGGATGTCCCCTAATGCTTCTTGGGCGATTTATTTGTTTACAATATACGTAAATTAAAATATACATACATACTCGTAAGTAGGTACATGTATAATTTATATTTTTTTAATTTTCAATTTACACATCGTGTGATTCAAATGTTTAAAGTATGCCTAAAAAAGCACATGTTAAGCCAATCTATGCGTACTTCCGACAGGCCGTGTTGCCAATTACCGCGTTAATTAATAAAATTATTGTTTGCTATTTTTGCGCAAACACAATTGGCCACACTGTGAGCGAAAGTTAACCAACATGTGTACGTTTGTGTACAACGTGAAACCATTGAGTAAAGTTCTTTACTCAATGGTGAAACTGTTCGGGTTTTTATGGTGCCCCATCAGGAGTAATTCAACGCGTAAACTTCCCATGTTCTATTTAAAGGGCTGTAACATGACCATCTCGAATATCAATTAGTCAAGAGTAAAAACAAATAGGTTTTTGACGATGTAATTGAGGAAAGGCCATACGGGTTCATTTTAACCACTTGATTTTAATTTACGGTGTAAAAAGGACCATTGTTTTCTTTGGTTTATTGAAAGGGCCTAGAGTAATTATCATGGAGAATATATAGGGTCCTTTAAATTTTCATTATTTTAACACTAGTATAAAGGTCGTGGACCTAGGAAATGCTTAAATTATGCACATGTTTTTGTGAATTTTACAATTTCCTTTCCACATAACGTTAAAAATACAAAAAATAAAAATAGGTATTGTAAATATTTATGCTTAAAACAGCCAATTTTAATTAGTTATACAACTTATTAATGAACTTTTTTATACACATGTTTCCGTATTATAACACACTGTGTAACAACCTAACAGTAAAACGGTAAAACTAATTGTTTGACAAGTTATTAGATGACACCTTATTTAATAGCTATCTACTAAATTTCCAGTT